ACCTTTAAGGATTTCTGCCTCCAGCCTCCTCCTCACTGAGATCATCTCAAGCAACTGGGAACTGCTGCAGCTCTCAAACCAAAGAGCTAGGTCTTTGCTGAATGCCCATTGTGTAAGAGCTCTCGAAAGGGCACCTTTAGACTAGTCCCCCAACCACAATAGTTGGGCGTCCAGCCTGAAGACACCCATAGTCGACCCTTCACAAAGACAAAAATCAGCAAATGCCTGGCAAACAATGGCAGGCTGCCTTGTGTGCATGACCAGGAGAGCAACGTGGTAAGGGAGGTAAGGGAGGAATGGCTTGGGAAAGAAATGAGGACATTTCTAGTCCCAACTTGACTGATGTTCATGAACCTCCTTTGGGGTGAAACCTCAGACTGTGTTGCCTGTTTGACTTACTTTTTTCTAAGTTATCCAAAATGGGATGTTGTATTTTCCGTAATTTAAATAAAATGAATGTAAATATAAAACCTGTCCATCTGTCTACCAGCCAAACACTTGGAAGTTACAAGCCAGCTTAGAAACTGTGGTTTTCAACCCAACCTTTGAAAGCCCTGTAATATTGGCCCCTCTACTCTTAGGGGTGGCGGGGGAGAGCAGTTTACAAGGTCAAGACCAGCACCTGCAATTTAGCAGGACCCTGTCTCAAAATAAAAAGTTACAGAGAGAGCTACTGGGCAAGGGCAGGAGACAGCTCGGTGACTAAGGGTGCACAGTGCTCCTGCAGAAAACCAGAGTCCATTCCCAGCACCCACATCAGATAGCTCAGAACTGCTATGCACCTCCCAGCCTCACTGGCACCTGTACTCACACACACACACTCACACACACACACACACACACACACACACACACACACACACACTCACAAATAAAAATAAAATTCTTTTTTAAAGAGGGCCAGACTACATAGCTCAAGGTGGGGTACTTGCCTGCCATGCTCAAGGCCAGAGGTTCAGTTCTTGGTACTGATCCCCTCAGCTTCCCAAGTAGCTGGGATTGCAGGTGTGTACCACCATGAACTCTTTCGGCATTGTTTTGCTGCCACTACCCAAGTGGCTGTCTTTCTAAGATGGCTGCCCTCTGTCTTTGTCTCAGTTCTCCACCTGCTTCCAAAAGACAGGCCACCTGACTAGGCTTCCCATGCCCTGCTTCTCAGTGTGAAGCCCACATCAGGATTTTGCTCTAAATGGACTGGTCCCCTGAAGTCACGGTGTTGTTATTGCCTTGCTCTGAACACTCACAGACACTGGACTGCAAGCTGCACAGAAACTGAGCAGTCCCTCCCTCTCCTCTGGGATATCATGTTCCTGGTTACCACATGATAACTGGAAATCACCCTGAATCCCAAGAGCATTCAAGTGAGTCCAAAGCAGTCAGGAGCCTGGCTACCTGTCTCTTTACCTTTCTCTACTCTACAAGCCATGCTGTCCAGTCCAGGCAGCTGGTTCTGCAGATCCATAAATCAACCTCAGATAAAACCAACACTGGATGAGAAATGTTCAATGAGTCAAGCCTAGAGCTGCATGCCCATCATCTCAGCACTCAGGAGGCTCAGACAGGAAAAGTAGGAGTTCAAGGCCAGCCTGGGTTACTTAGAAACACCCCATATCAAAAAAATCAATCAATCAGGTCGTATCTAGCCGCAAGAGCTATTGACAGTTGGTGGATTCTGGACAACGAAGGCTAGTTTTCTCCAGTGGTGCGGCCCATGACTGGTTGCCCGTGCTCCAGTGGATGGTGCCTTATACACTAAATGGACTCTGTGGATTATTTAGAGGAAGATGAAGAGGTGGAGGCAGCAACATGAAGTTAGGAGGCGGATTGGGGGGGAGGGCTCAGGAAGAGTTGAAGAGGAAAAGGAAGGAGAGGTAGATATGATCTAAATATATATGTATCCATATATGAAATTACCAAAGAATATTTTTTAAAACTCAATGGTAAGGCTGGAGAGATGGTTCGTAGATAACAGTGCTTACTGCTCTTTGAAAAGACCAGTGTTAGGTAGCTCACAGCCAGAGGCGCCAACTCTGTCTCAACAGTCACCTGATCTCATGTGTACATACCCACACATGGATACACATAATTAAAAAGATAAAAATAATATATTTTATGTGAACAAGTGTTTGACTCCATGTATATGTGTGCACCGTGTGTGCAATAACCACAGAGCTCAGGAAGGGGCATTGGATCCCCTGGAACAAGAGCTACAGGGAGTTGTGAGCTGTCCTGTGGGTGCTAGGAGCAGAATCTCAGTCCTCTGGGCAGCAAAAAGCACTCTTAAAGTTTAAACCATCTTTGTTGTTGTTGTTGTTGTTGTTGTTAATCAATGGTAGTATAAGCTTAGCATGTGCAAAGGCTTGGATTTAATTCTCAGCACCAAAAGTCAATCAATCAATTGATGAAGTTATTCAATTTGCATCTGTACCAGGCATGAAAAGACTTCTCCTCTTATTCCCTAAACAATATAGCATAGCAACTATATGCACAGTATTGAAGTTGTGCTAGGTGGAGTTATTATCTCTCTCTCTCTCTCTCTCTCTCTCTCTCTCTCGCTCTCTCTCTGTGTGTGTGTGTGTGTGTGTGTGTGTGTGTGTGTGTGTGTGTGTGTGTGTGGTCAGAGGACAATTTCTGGAAGTCCATTCTCTCCTCTGCCATGTAAGTCCCAGGGATTGAACTCAGGACTTCAGGCTTGGTGGCAAGCACCTTAACCCACTGTGCCAGGCGTTTAAAGTAATGTAGAAATGAGTTAAATATGAAAGAAGACAGGAAAGGGTTCTGGGTGAATATGATGCCATTTATGTAAAAGACTCTCACATACAAGGGTTTCAGAGTCTATCCAGGATGGAAGGTGTGCCTGGAACAAATTCCCTAAAGAGACCCAAAACCTGGATAGTGTGGGAGTTGACATGTGATAGTCTGTGAGTCAAACCTGGCCTGATATCTGTGTGGTTGGCATGTTTTAATCATGGTATTGGCACACAGCTGCATTCATTCATTGTGTATTTCTGCAGGTGCTTTCAAGCTACAGTTGCAAAGGTGAGTTGCTGAAATAGAGATCACAAAACAAACTATTTACAAAAGTGTCTCTGACTTTGCAAACGTGAGGGGTGGGGAGAACAAGATGACTTGATGGGTAAAGAGGATTGCTGCCAAGATGGATGGCCCGAGTTCAATCCTGGATCCACACAATTAAAGGAGAGAACTAATTCCCACAAGTTGTCCTCTGACTGCCTTGTGCATGCTGGGGGTTCACACACACACACACACACACACACACACACACACACTGAATAAATGTGATAATTAAAAAACAAAAAAGGCTGACTGTAGCCTAGGAAAAGCAGATATGAAGGCATTGCGCAGGAGCAGAGCATCCATCAAGTGTATGAGGCCCTGAGCTCCTTCCCAGCACTGGAGGGGGACAGCCAGCAAGTAGCAATTAAAAAAACAATTTAACACATAAGCAGAAATCCAAAAGATACAGGGTTGAGCTCAAACACAGGCTATCTTCTACACTTTCACCATGCCATTGTAGATCACTGTAAACGCAGACAGCTGTGGTTTGTCACTATGTTAAATCTTCCATTTTATCCCAGTGGACATGCTCCCACCGACAGGGCACAGTGAAACCTTTCAGAACGTGAAGGTGATGCATGATGTCAAATCAAGTTCCTTATCACTTTCATCTGCATTAGCCAGGAGCCTTTCTGAAAGAATAAACTGTTGAACAATATCATCACCCTCCCCTTCCCTGTCTCCCCTCTCACCATCACTATTCCACTCTCTGTTTGTTCAAGGTCAAGATTTGTAGCTTGCATATGAATGCTATCACACAGCATTTGACTTTGTGTGCCTAGCTTATAAAATTAACATTAATCGTTTGGGGAAATGGTGTGATGAAACTGAATTCTTTGCAAACTTATTAAAATGTAATAAACATTTTTAAAAAACATTTCCTAATACTTAACTTGAAAGTATTCTTCACCTGGGCCTTCCTGGGGCTCTTAGGCCCCTAGAGCTGTCGGGCATGTCTCTTTCAGAGAGCCAGTTGTTCTGGTTTCTTCGGGTTCTAGACCTTCTCTTGGCCTCTGGCTCCTGAGCTATCTATTCTAGAAATGTCCTTTCCAGGATCTCCAACCTCCAGAAGGTAAAGGGTTAAAGGATGGGTCTCTCCCGTTGTCCTCTCAAGTCTCATGTGTCACAAGCCATGCCAGCCACCCCTTGAAAATAAAGGGAAGACAAAGTTCTTCTGACCCCTAAAGCTCAAACAAGTGTCTGACTTTCAAGACCAAGAAGAGGTCTTTGAAAGTGAAGGGCTTGCCTCACTATACAGATGATACCCGAAGCTAAGGGCCTCCTGCACCATGGCCAGAAAGTAGTGGGTGAAAAGACCTCAAAAGCTCTAAAGGAGCCATGGTGTGTTATAATAGGTGCCAAGGGAGAAAAAAATGCACATTTCTTACACTGGCCATACATTGGCTATAGATGTGCAATGGCATCAACTCAACAGAACAGTCATTGTCCTGGGACAGAAGGTTCATCCAAAAACAGATCTCCGTGAGCCTGGCATGGCGATGCATGGCTGTAGTCCCAACACTTGAGAAAGAGCAGCAGAATGGCATGTTTCAGGCCAGCCTGGGTTAACAGGGAGCTCTTGTCTTCTAACAGAGAGAGAACGGCAAGGAAGGGAAGACAGAGGAAGGA